AATGATCATTATTTAAAAACCTTAGACAGAAATGGGAAAAAAATTACAGAGTTGTCACTGGTTAAGGGCTGGCAAAGTTAAAAATTAATCTTTTGTCTGAGCTTATTGTGTGGCTTGTGAAACTTCAATATATCCCTCTTGAAAAGGTTTTAAATTACACAAGAAACTATTTCTGAAGTTTATGTATGTGACAAGATTTTAATCTAACTTTCTAGACTTTGTGTGGAGTACCTGCCTCTCCAGTAGTCCTTGAGGTATTTATTATAACTTTCTATCCAGATGAGTAGGCCATGTGGAAATAAATATGCATGTTTATTTAAATATATTATACATAATTTTCTTTTCATTCCTGTTATTTTGTAAGCTTGGAGACTAATAAAATGAAGCTGAGCTAAAAAAAATTGTGCAAAATATTCATTCTGAAAAGCTTTAATTTTCCCCAGTGAGTGACACATTTGTCTTCTGTCTGCAAATCTGGAAAATTTATTTAAATGTATGCTTCCTCTTTCCTCTACATAGAATTAATGCAGTCAAGAATTAGGCACTGAAAGAAAGAATAAAAATCAAATTTGGTAGAAGGATCACAGCTGAGAGCTTGGTGAAAACTTGCCTCTTTCTTACAATTACAAGAAGAAAGGAGTTATCAGGGTATCTTTTACATCTGTTTGATCTGAACTTACTATTGTAAGGTACGATGTGTAGATTAAACCTTTGAAACATCCTTTGGTTGTCTGAAGAACTCTGTGGGAATTAGGAGGATTTAATTCTGGTTAGTAAATTTTGCATTAGGAAGTGGGATTTCTGTATTCCCACGCCTCAGGATGGATGATGTTTGCCACAGAGATCAATTAACATCTCTTTGCCCCCTTTCCCTTTTTGAAATGGGGTTCAAATGACAAACTAGTTTGCCTGAATGTGGGGTCATATGTATAGTAGGAATAAATTGCTCAGTGCATGTACACAGCAGACCAGAATGTTCCTGCTGAGTCTTGCTTGAGGCTTTAAACTTGCTGCGGTTATGAAGATGTTCTTTGAAAATTGACTGTGGAAATTAATTCTGTGTGTATTCCCTGTCACGAAAGCCGGGGGCTGGAGTTGTAATCTCATTTTTCTTAGGAGTCCCAGCTCAGACTCAGTTCTGTTGTCACCCTTTCCTAAGAATCCCTGTATTTCAGCACCTCGCCTCAACTGAGAGTTGTTTCTGCCACCCAGTTCCTCCTGGCGTGTCTGGAGGCTGTCGTCAGTGGGTTTCTTGTAATACATGTGTGTTCCTCGTTGGTTTTGTTAACCATTGTAGTCAGCCATGCCTGTCTCATGGTGTCCTCACTAAAACAAATCCTTATGTGTTGTGATGAGTTTAACATTTTCCCCAGACGGGTCATTGAATATAGAAACAGTCTTGTCTTCAGAGAGAGGGAGGTGAATGGTAGAGCTCTCAAAGTCACTAGAGTCTTATTATTTTCCTGTAAAAATGGGACAAGAGAGGGAAGAGATACCCAATTAGTTTTCCACTGGAAAAGCACACATTTTCTCTTTATTGTACACCAAAGTACACAATAATAATAAGGACTTCTGACAACCTGGTTTATGCAGTTTGTTCATGTAGTCCTTAGTTCTTCAGTATGCCTGACTTGAATGTAAGTTCTACAGCGCTTTCTACCCCCCAGTAAGTTCTATCAACATTTCAAGGGCAGATTCACCTCAAAAGAGATGTGAACCTCAAAAGGCAATTCTTGATGGGATATTTAGATTTGGTAGTCTCAAAACTCCTCAGTTCCATCTGTTTCTTGCTTGGTAGGAGCTGATCTTTTACTTAAAACTTTCCTACCTAAGTACTTTCATCTTCTGCTTTCATTCCTCCTGCTCAGGAATAAGAGAAGATGATTTCTCAAAAGTGCTAAGGTGGCTTTATCCCTGAAAAGAAAAAAGTGAAATTGTTTAAATGAGTGCTACTTGAAATTCCATGTGAATCTACATTATTCTGAAAGATCATTATAATTAAGCCTGGAAACAAAGTATCTCCTGTTGTTTGTTGTCTAATAGACCCTAGAAATGAGTAAATGAAAGCCTCTTGAATAGATACAGCAGAAACGGTTCCATAATACATTTCCCAAAGTGTCTTCCCCTCCTCCCACCTCTGCCCTTAGTCTTTAGATAAATCAAATTTTTTTGAAGTACATGTATGAATATCTAAGGCATACGTAGTCAGTATATTGCTTAGACTTTCAAAGCTATTTTCACATGTGAACAAATATCAGCTTTTCACATTAAACAGGAACTATATTTGAAAGTGGCTCATGACTTGTATAATACACATAAAACACTGAGATTAAAATGCTTTGTCTAGTCCATCAAAAAAAGTATCCATATATTTGTGGTCTATTCTTTTTGAATAAACCAGCAGACATAATTCCTGTTGGAATATGCACTTGATATTTTTTTTGGACAAATAACATTCGATCATGTTCTGAATATTTTGCCAGGTGAGTGTAAAGCAGTGAAACATGGTGAGGCATATAAATGCTCCTCTGCCTACCCTGTGCTAGGTAACAGGTGCAAAGACTGTCGAAGCTTAACCTTTCTCTCAGTCTAAAATTTTTGTGCTTAACATTGTAACTGATTAAAACACAGGGATACTTGAAGGTATTATTTTTTATTCAACTACTTAGAAAAGTTTTCCCTTTAAGATGGGGAACTATCTACACTGAGGCAATATTGAGCCTCATACTGTGTTTAAACATAAACAATACAGCATGGGTAAAGGTGCCTTATCCTGCATTTTTGGTTCGCTTTCTAATACTAAGACAACACTATTTATAGCTAAGAAACTCTTGCTGTGATGGCTGTGCCATGAGACAACCAACACACGACTGTAGGAAGCTGTTTCTGAGAACAGCTGGTTTTGGTTTTGATGACCTGGAATGCAGGTCTGCCTTTGTGAATATTTTGATCTCTGCATGTTGATAAAGCTGGTTGCTGTTTTCTAAAAATGCGGGAATATACTTAAGTAGTTCTGATGCTAGATGTTTGTGGAACCTTTATTGAATAAAATATTAATTTGAAAACACCCTGACTACTTGCATGAAGACATTTTTCTGAAGCTTAACATTGCTCTTAACATTTTCTTTTTGATGATAAAGGGACTATTAGGGACTATTTTTTTAAATTTGATCTAAAGCAGAATTCTGAAAGGCTTAAGTAAGAAACAGGATAATGTCATGGAGATAATATGACCAAAGATGCTGGAATTGCAGCTGGTAGTTGAGATGCATACTTTGACTTCAAGGAAGCTTTGCATTTTCTCCGATTATTTGTAGGAGAAAAAGTGCTAACCTGAAATTCCTTAGAAAAGAATTTGCATAACTGTTAAAAATGTAAAGAAAGCTTCTTATTCTAACACTTGCATTATTATGCAGCACCTATGACATAAATTGGCCAGAAACATCTGCCCACTTCTGCAGATAGTACAGCTTGCATGACTACTTTAAAAGTCACGAGTCTGAAACTGGGAATTGAGAAAATGTGAAGAAGGCAGTTTCATCTGCAGCTGAACTAGTCAGGATGTAGGACCTACGTAGTCTGGGGAAGTTGTGGACTGTTTGCATGGTAATTTTGTGACTTTATATAATGTGTGGTTGCTGACAGGACTTTGTCTGTTACAAAATAGAAATAATGCTGCTTCAAAATCTGAAAACATAAAGTGTTATTTTCCCTCCTACTCATGGTTTCACAGAAAATTCACTTTTTTTTGAAACTAAAAGTGTGGTTAAAACATTTAACATAATACAGGTCTTTTGACATGCACTGCTGTAGTTAAAATGTTGCATGTGAGTTGATTTGCTTGTTAAAAAGTCAGTTCCACTCAACAGAAAGAATGGCCTGAAATTTTTTTCTTCTAATGGAATTTTCTAGGAAGAATTAGAATCAGAAAGTAGGTGTTGAGAAATGCAGTTTGTTCTGTTACTGTGCAGTTTCATAATAGCTTTCATTATAAAGCAGTGAGGAAATTTAAAGGTTAATTCCTGTGTGGGAGAAGGGGCATATAGGCTTTTCTAATTTTCTTGATATATAGTACTCTGCAACATGCAGAGCATTGCAGAACACAGTGGTTATTCCAAGGCTTCTGGGCTTGTTGGGGATCTCAGCTGGAGATTTTGTTAGTACACCTGTGTGTGTGTCTATTTGAGCATGCATATATAGCTTGGCAGGACTTTAAAAGAGTAAAGTTAAGAACAAGAACAAATTCTCTTAACTCACCTTGATGACTTCAGGGGATCAGACAGCTGGGATGGTGGCATTTCCTGACATTTCTTGAGGCAGCATTGTTGACTCTCAGCCAAGAGTGGTTCTCTCAGCAAGTCTGAGGGTACCGGGCAGGCATGATGCATTTCTCATTGTAGGGTGTGCTTCCCATTGCAGTGTGCTGCGGGACCAGGCTGGTGTTAGTGCACTTAGTGCCAGAGTGCAGTGGGTCAGGACTGGCTGTGAAGGACTGCTGGGGTGGACACAAGTGTTCCCACAGTAAGAGCTGCCTTGGAAGCAAATTTTTGATTTAAAAAAATTGGTTTGGAACTATGTGGTCATTTTTACAACAGTGAATCTGCCTCTACAGGCATTGTAAAACTTGTGGGTTGCTGTAGGTATGAGGGCTGAAAACTTCTTCTGAAAATTATGAAATAAAAAGAGTACTGAAGGACTTGATTTTATTGTATTTGGAAGATTATGCATACTTTATACATAGTTTATACTTGTTTTTTCAATCCTTAGTAGCAAATCTTGGAAGGAATGTGCTGGGCCTGGATTCAGTTGGATGCAACCTGTATTTCATTTTCAGACACACACACACAAAGTTCTTTTTCTGTTCTGTCCCCTTGTTCTCAGTAAATGTATTTGACTGCTTAACATCTTTAAAGTTAATGTTGTGGTGTTTCCCACACTTTTGCTCCTTATGGAAGCCTGTTTTGGTCAGTATTTACTTTTTGTTTTTGTTTTGTCAGCAGCCATGCAGCAGGTCTTAGACAACCTTACTGATCTGCCGACATCGACAGGCGCTGAAGAAATAGACCTGATTTTTCTTAAAGGAATTATGGAAAACCCCATCGTAAGATCGCTTGCTAAGGTATTTAAATTTGCTGCTTTGAGTAGAATCTGGAAATATTTTAACTCTTACATTATTTTGTGAACATTGAGTGTGGATTGAGGTATCCACAACGCGTTGTTGGTTCATCTTATTAAAAGACTTGAAGACCGGCTTGAAGGTGAAGAGTTCATAACTTCTCTGCATGCTGGTTAATAGTTATATGGAAAAATCTAGAGGAAGATAAAAAATTCAAAGATTACAGAAATAATGTGGTTACATTATTTATGAAGAAAAATCATAATATTTGGAATTAGAAGCAGTTGATTTTAATGTAGTCTTGTAACCGCTGTTGTGTGCATAACCCATATGCCTTCTGACTTTTAGTGGTTTTGCCAGAGATGAAAAGTGAGAGCAGTCACCTTCATTATCCTGTGGCATAAAAATGTTTTCTTTTCATCTTTAGCTCAAAACTACTTTCTGATATGCCAGGAAAATATTCTCTCCATGCCCTTTCCTGGATCTCAGATTAATAATTTTATCTTTGATTGTCAGCTCTCTAAAACATGGATTATCCTAAGTTTTTGTTCTTGGATTACAAAAATCTTTTATGTATGGGTGGTAGCAATCAATTATAAATATGTAAGGTGATATTTGCAAAAAACTCTTTGGACTCTTTAATTAAAATGTAGCTGGTCTTACCAGTAGGAAATGCAGACAAATACTGCACATCACTTATATATGTTCTTAATCTTACTTCATAAAAATAAGCTCCTTTCATGAGGAAAACCCAGTTAACTTAAATACAGCTGTCTCTTTAATAGGAATAGACATCTGAAAGCAGTGCCCTCTGGGCAGGCATGAAATCCTCTGTAAAGCTAAAGGATTGTTGCCAATGGATTTTGTTCAGTATAAAAATCTGGAAAGGAAAACTTCTCATGAGAATTCATGTAAGAATCTACTTCTGTTTAGCTGTTAAAAAAATTGGTTTTAAGTTGAAGACATGGCACAGTAATAAACTTAGAAGTAATGGAAGTGTGTTATCTGCTGGTGAGATGACTGCAGAGAGAAAGATTTGTGTACTAAATTTACTAGAGTAAGTAAAAGCATTTTTTTACTGACAATGGGAACAACTTTAAGTGTCTGCTGCATAAGTCATCTTTAATATTTATCACGAAGAAAATGTTCACTGCAAAGCCTTTTTTTCTTATAAAGAATTTGTGCTTTAATGGCCAGTAACAATTAGGTGGAATTTAATGACTAGCAGATGTAAAAAAAGTGCTTGTAACAGAAACAGATTTTTAACTATACACATGCTTTATCTAGAATGCTTAAAGGTTTTAATTGTGTTCACATGGTGTGACTGCACTCATATTTTCTTAGTAATTATTTTGGAAAAATCCTCAGTCTTAACAAGCAGTGCTAAATAAGGATAAGATCAAAACACATTTGGTGAAGCATATGTAATTCACATATTTGTCCCTAAAAATACATAAACTTGCTTTTCTATTAGAAGAGCTGGTTCTCAGTTCTCAGTCATCTCAGTTCTCTGAGATGGTTACATTGTTACAGCAGAATCATTTCAAAGCAGGCCAGAAATGCAAAAGCTTTTTCATTTTCCTTTATTAACCAGTTATTAAGACTAATCATTATGTAAAGTACACCAAAAAGGACAATAAGAAACTTGGGGAAATGTGCCAAAAGCTATACAAACTTGTTTTCTCCTTTTGGTCCTTAAATAAATGAAGGTGAACAATAAGTATAGTAGTTAGTTTGCAGTATTTTGCAGTGCATTTTGGCTGATCTTTTAAAACTGGGTTACATTCATTTCACACTTTTCCTGTATAGAATAAAGGTAATAAGGTAGAAATTACAGGGGTTTTTTTTTGGATAGGGTTCTTTCACTGAACCTTTCCACTTTTCAGTAGGTGGTAGAGGAAAGGAGAACTGTTATCATTGTAAAATGTTTTTTCCTGTCCCTGATGTTTATAGAATCATAGAGTAGTTTTGGTTGGAAGTGGCCTTTAAAGGTCACCTTGTCTAACCCCCTTGCAATGAGCGGGGACATCTTCAACTAGATCAGGTTGCTCAGCGCCCCGTCCAGCCTGACCTTGATTGTTTCCAGGGATGGAGTGTTTACAACCTTTCTGGGCAACCTATTGCAGTGTTTTACCACAACCATCCTACAACTTTTCTTCCTTATATCTAGTCCCAATCTACCTTCTTTTAGTTTAAAATCATGATGCCCTGCCCTATTGCTAAAGGCCCTACTAAAAATTTGTCCCCATCTTTCTTGTAAGCTCCCTTTAAGTATTGAAAGACTGCTGTAAGGTCTTCACAGAGTCTTCTCTTTTCCAGACTTAACAACCCCAACTCCATATCTTTCTTATGCTGATGTTTGTGTTCAATCCTAACTAGTCTTTAGAATTAATATGCTTTTTGGAAAATTACTGTTGAACTTTAAACAAGCATGAATTTTCCTCAGTTTTGCCGTGGAGCTATGGTATCAAAATTCTCTTCTGGATTGTTAGCTATTCTCTCAAACCTCAAAACTTTATCTTCTTTCTCTTGTTACACTACTGCTTTTAGCATTATATCACAGCCTACAGGAGACCAGGTGAATGCCCACCCCAGGCCAAGGAAACATCTTGGGAGTAATCTAAAAGCATTTAGTCCAGTATTTAAGATATCAGATTGTTGGAGGTAAAAGCCTTACTATTTGAACATTTGGCAGGTATGATATATACTGAATGCACAGAAAGGTTAAAGTCAGCATCAGTATTTCTGAAATGTTCTGTTGAAATGAAAAAAAAAATTGCAATATCCAAGTTAGTTATTCCTATTTGTTTGGTTTTTAACTTATTCATACCATTCCATATCCTGTTACTCCTCAACATATTTCAGGATCAGAGATTGTTTACTGATAAAACTTTATGTTCCCCAGTATATACATGGCCTTGATTCTGGAGTGGAGGGTGAGAAAATTTGTATTTAGATTATATCACTTAGTGTTAGTGGTGGTTTTTTGAAAACGATGAGTGAGAAAAAAGGTAACGCATATTCTCTAATCTTAAAAAGGTTTTACAGTTGGGTTATATCTAAAAATCACTAGATTTGTGTTTTTACTTACTGTAAAAGAACTAAATTGTAAAAGAAGGATATTGTTTACTGTATGTGTTCTGTACAAAATAGCATTCCCTTATAAAGGAGAATGTGTGTAGGTGCCGAGCTTCCTATAACTTTGTAATTACAGTTGTTTGGTTTGTGTGTGTTGGTGTTGGGGAATGTTTGAAATGCCTTTTTGTTAAGTTAACCTTTCCAGAGTTTGGCCATCAGGCCTGCAGAAACAGCATTTTATAGATATGAAGTACAATTTAATACTTAGATGATTTAGGAAGCAAAGTTCTCTGCTTTTACCAAAATTTTATTTTATTGTCAGTTTTAAAGCAGTAATAAGAGAGCAGAAGTGCTCACATACCTTCAAATTTTATCTGTGGGAAGTATATATAGCTGACTCTGAATTATATCTATTATGTATTTGGCTTTTATATGCCAAAGTAATTGCTCCTTTGTAAATTTCTTGTTGCTACAGTGTTGAAAATAACTTTTAATTGAGAATCTGTGTTATTTTTTGCCTCCTCTTATTCCCTAGTTCTGTGATAGAGCCCTGTCTGTAATAAATAAATTAAGCATTCAGAGATGCTTCTCTTCCTGCTCAAAGCACCTACCTTTCAATGAATTTCAGTATCTGCAGAGTTCAGGAAATGATTATGTCTGCAAGGAATAGCTCTAGAAATAGATGAAATGTTATCAAAGAATCACAGGATGGTTGAGGCTGTAAGGGACCTCTGGAGGGCATTTGGTCCAACTCTCCCTACTCAAGCAGGGCCACCTGGAGATGGTTGCTCAGGACCACATCCAGACAGCTTTTGAGTATCTCCAAGGAGGGAAACTCCCATCTGCTCTGAGCTCAGTCACCCTCACTCTGGAAAAAGTGTATCCTGATGTTCAGACAGAGCTTCCCGAGTTTCATTTTATGCCCACTGCCTGCTGTCCTGTCACCAGTCACCACTGAAAACAGGCTGTTCTCTTTGCATAGTATACCTTTTATACACATTGATGAAATTTCCCTGAGCCTTCTCTTTTCTGGGCAGAACAGTCCCAGCTTGATGAGCCTTTCCTCAAATGTGAGGTGCTCCAGACCCTTCATCATATTTGTGGCCCTTCACTGAGCTGTTTCCAGAATGTCCAGAGTGTTCCAGGTGTGGCCTCACTAGTGCTGAGTAACACTCACTATTCCAGTAACACTTTTAATGCAGCCCAGGATACTGCTGGCTGCCTTTGACCTCAACTTTTCTTTAGCATTTCCTTCAGTTAGGCAGATTTTAGCAGGTAAAATGTGCTGTTCAGAAGGTGTTTGAATGAGAGGAGTCTGAGGTAAATGTTTTTCTTGCAGACTCTGAAAAGATCCCATAGTTCCTTTTATGCCCTTCTTCTAGAAGGTGTACTTGTCCAGGGTTCCAAAGCAGGAAAGGTCCTGAGGTGCTGTACTGTTGATAGAGCAGTGCTTGGTGTGTATAGCATAGAGGAGATACGCACTTAAAAGCCTCTCTGGTATGTGCTGCTTATAAAGTTTATTGGATCCTGTAGTTGAGCATGCAAAATCCTTCAGCAGTTAATCAGGTTATCCTATATATAATTTTTCTGACTTTTCTGCTGAATGTTGCACTGAGAAATTACTTGAAAAGTTTATAGATTTGAACCACTCAAAACTTATTTACATTATAGTCTCGTGTATTTAATCTTACAGGCTCACGAGCGACTGGAAGATTCTAAACTTGAGGCTGTCAGTGACAACAACCTGGAGCTGGTGAATGAAATTCTTGAAGACATCAGTCCCTTAGTAAATAAGGATGAAAATGTTGCAGAATTGGTTGGAATACTCAAGGAGCCTCATTTTCAGGTGCCACCTTTTTACTGTATGTTATCAACTTACTGTATCAGTGTCCACATACAGATTTAGGAATAACAATGAAACAAAACCTGAACTATAACAAAATGTAATATGTAGGATTTTACATCAAATAAAAGGTAAATCAGAAGCCATGTTAAAAATAAACATGATTTTATTTTTTGATATAATTTCAAAAACACCTTTACTCACTGTATTAAATTCTCCTGGAGTTTCTGTTATAAATCTTGGACAAGCTTTTACTTCCTGTATGACTGGAGTTCCCATAAAAATTCCCCAAAGGCTTGCTTCATCCATAACATTTTCAGGTGATCTCAGTTCCTGATCGTGAACACTGTCCATTTCAGTTCAGCTGTTTGCACTCATACTCGTATGTAAGATGTATGCTTTGCAGAGTGAATGAACGTGATTCTTCTGTGAGCTGATCTGCACTGCAGCTGAAGCTGAGACTCTGCAGCCCTCTCACTGGTGCTCTGCTTAAGTGAAGTGTTGACATGTGCTTGTCAAAAGCAGATGTTTTTCCATTTGGCTGTTTCTATGACTAGCTTCTGTACTGAGCCTCAAAGTTCGAGGTTTGAAAATCCTTTGTAGATTCCGGCCTTTCTAGGTAGGGTTCAGTGGACTTTGCTACTTTAGTGGACTGCTACTAAGCTAAAGGTATTCTGTAGAAGAGCATAAACAACTTTTTGCCATAGTATAAGTGGGTTTCTTTTGGCAGACAGCTATGAAGTCATAGGCATTTTTGGGATACATGAGTTTAAACACACTTTCCCCCCAGGTTTTTCATTACATGTTTTACAAACATAGCAGTGAGATATATTACTGTTTAACATGGATAAACACTGAAAATGCTTTTGGTTGTACTGTGTCCTATTGGGAAAGGAATTGCTTCAAAAACTCAGCTTTTGGGGCAGTGGCTTTTCTGAATACTGACAATTCCTCTGCCTCTCCTGTGTTGGCCTCCCTTGTGCTCTTGTCCAGAAAGGCAAGTGATGAAAAAGCAAAAGAAAGAAAAGAAAAGAAAGAAAAGCAGAGTGATGAAAAACTATGATTGGAGACTTACTGGTGCATAAACCTGCAAATCAGTCTTTGATCCCATAGAAAAAATTGGTACTTGAAAAGGACTGGATGAGTTTGGAGGAATTGATAGTTAAAATGCACAAGGACTAGAACTGAGGGCCACCTGTGCACTGACAGACCTGACAATGATCCATTGTGTTAGAGAGAGAAAATAAAGCTGAAAGTCAAAGTGGATGATGAATCAAAAGATGAAAAGGGCATAACAATTGAAGTGCTGCACTTTGAAAGGCTCAGTAGCAATGATCTCTGGAGAGAGATGGCAAAGGCCAGAGACAAGCTTGGGAAAAGGATCTTTGGGGTGGAAACTGGAGATGGCCTGTAGGAGACAGATCAAATAAGAATTTTTGGGTGACTAAGAATCAACTAAGAATTACTGGGTGAATAGCCAACACTAAGGCAAACCCAGCATTTATTCCTGTTCTGTGGTCAGATCTACAGAGAGGCAGAATGTGATGCTGGTGTCAGATACTTCATTAGTTCAGGCTTGAGCAACTTAAACATGTAATGTGAAAGTTCCAAAATAGCTGGTGAACTGGAGTGTCAGTATTTATGCTCTTTCTTGTACCTTTTCTGTTGCTTGATATATAAGGAACAGACATGGAACTGCATATATGCTATCTTAACTTTACAGTTTTGTTCAGTTTTAGTGCTTCCTAATTGTATGTTGAAGGTTCATTTAGCAAACATCTCTTCTGTTTTCCTTCCCTATCTCTGCAGTAGGTGTCTAGTGAAGGCTGTAAGGCTAGAACAAGCCAACAATGATACCTTCCAAAATGTGTGGTGAAGATATAGTGATTTGTTGCTAAGACTTCTGAGTGAGAAGTAGTGCCATCCACCTGTGGTTCTCTTCCATGAGCTTATTCAGTTGTTTTTTTCAACCCATATGAAAATCTGTCATTCACGGCATCCCCCATCTGAGTGGAGACTGTGCTCTTTTGGTTTTGAGACTGTCTCCTGTCAATTTCACTTAATATTCCCATCCTCTTGTGTAGGAAGAAAGTGAACAGTTTTTCTTAATCAGCTTTTCCATGTTACTTGTGGTTTGAGAGACCTCATTGTGTCTCTCTGTGTCAAATAAATAAAATGAAGGGAAGCAAAGCTGTATGCAGCATGGATTTCTAAAACAGTGTCATCATTTACATTGCATTTCTTACTCATGGCCTAAAAGTTCCTAGTATTTGGTTTGCCTATTTAACAGCTGATGAATAGAACAGAGCAGTTCAGTTAGAAGGGACCTACAGTGATCATCCACTCCAGCTGCCTTACCAGTTCAGAGCTGGCTGAAAATTAAAGGCTGTTATTAAGGGTTTTGTCCAAATGCTTGTTAAACACTGACAGACATGGGGCATCAGCCACCTCTTTAGGAGCCTGTTCCAGTGTTTGACCACCCTGTCAGTAAGGAAGAGGTACCTCTAGGCTCAGGGAGAGTAGAGGTGGATTGCTTGTTAGGCTCAGTTTGGTTTTGTATTGTTTACATCTTTGAGATACCATTTCTGAGTCTTTCAGTTAATACATTAAGCTAGGATTGTGTTTTCTCTTGTAGTCTGTGTTGAATTAATTTGCCTCGTTCTCAGTGTATTGCAAATAAGGTGCCTCTGCAGGTTACAGGCAGTTGTTTAGTCCTTGAGTAGTTCATCAGCATCAGCAAACTGTCTTTTCACTTCTCATCCCCATTTCCTAGGCCATTTATCTGACATTGTATATGTATGTTGTACAGTATATTGGCAGGTGTAGAACTGAGCCCAGATGCCTGTGGAAATCACCTGATGACATGAATTCTGAAGACTAAAAATACCATATTCCTGGCACCAATTTTTCTATCTTTAACCAATATTTTCTTCCATTTGAAAGCCTTACTGCTTATCCTGTTATAGTTTTGTTTTCTGAAAGACTTCTGCCAAAGGGCTATGGAAGTTGTTCTACATTAACAACTCTAACTGCCTTGTTGCCATGCTTGTTGGTGACTCTTCCAAGGAATCTGACTAGATTTGAGAAGCATAACTTCCTTTATTTAGCATGTTGATGCTTTCCCATGATCCATTTTGTCCAGTCATTCTGGGTTTTATGGAAACTTCTGATTTGTTTAGTATCAGCGTCACACTTAGTTTTGCAGTTTGTTGACTCTTCCTTGGAACCTAGTTTAAATATTCATGTCTTGGTTATTGCTTATATGCTGCTTCTTTCCCTGTAGTGTTGGGTGAGTCATGGGCATGTAAGAAAAATGCAGTGCAACTTTGTTTGCTGCAAAGTCTGGATTGTACAAAAAGGACAAAAAAGTGTGAAAGGAAGAGAAAATAGGTGGTTAAGATAGTTAAATGCTGCCCTGGGGAACTGGCCTATTCATCACTCTGTCAGAATTGGAATTCATTAAAAAAAAAGTCTGAAGAAGTTTTCATTTGTATTTTTAAAATTTATTTTCTGTGTGCCTGTTGTGAGGCATTCAGTCTCATTTGCAGAAACAATGAGCAGTTTTGGCTGCTGTGTATGGGCAAAAGCACCTTGCTACTTACTTCTTCAAAGTATATCTGCTGTGATTAATTTCTGAAGCCAAAAATTAGGGAGAATTTTCAGCCCTTAATTTTGTACTTCCATTACCCATGTGCAAGCAACAAAATCAGCTGAGGTCAAAGTACTATTTTTTTATTGAACTGATATAATAGTTAAGACCATTCTAGAAGTACTTCTGGGACAAATTGCAGCCCAAAATGTAGATATAGTATCTTTTTTTAAGGCTTGGGAAATCTGTGTGTCTTCTTCTGCAAAAAGGAAACAGAAAATTACCTAAATACTCAATAAATAAGTGGTATCATTTCTGCCTTATTTGGTGCAAGTAGGCATATTCCAAATCCTGCATGAAGGGAAAGAGTAAAAATACAATGTCAATTGCATTTATAGAAAAAGTAATTTGCATCCAACTCCAGTTCTATAAAAGTACAAACAATCCAACCTGACTCTTTAAAAGTTCTATGGACACGACTGTGTAATTGGTTTAGAGGCTGACTGTATTTTACAAATGAATGGTTCCACTTTATCACAGTCTCACCTTACAGTTGTAACCTGTCTTGGCATACAAGTATAAAATGTGGATATACAAGGCATCAGTGCAGTAGTTTGTTTGCATGTGTCATTTAGTGCTAGAAATACCAAATTACAGGACTTCATTTTTTCTACACATTTTTTGTAGAAGAGCATTTGGGAAGGACTAACTCTGGAGTACAGGTGCATGCCTGGCGGTATTATTATTCCCTTTCTTTTCTCCTCTTGTTTCCTTGTTTTTTCATCCCTTCCACTCTTTACCCCTTTTAGTTTTAACTGAACTTTTTAGAGGTCAAAGTGTGAAAGTTCTAATGAGTTTCATAGTATTGATGGCTGGCCAGTAGGTCAGTATGTGTTGGAGAGCCAGCTGGCACGTGCTGCACATGGAAAAGGCTATAGCAAATCTTACCAGACAGTAGCTGGAGAGCAGAACACAGGAGTGGTAAGAGAGGTTGCCTTGAGGAAAGAAACAGCAGTTAAAAATTTTCATACTGTTGGAGTGGTTAAACATGCAGAAAAATCACTTCTACTTCCTCTTGGAAGAGCTTGTTCTGTTACTTTCACCCTTCAAGAATTAGCTAAACCATTCATCCTAAATAGATTCTGCTGGCAGTAAAATACTTAATCTGAAAAGCAGCCAGTATTGTGTTCTACTAGTTAGCTTTATAAGGGCTGATCATACCTTTAAAATGTTTCATTTAGAAAACGTGATCTTAAATTGTCTCCTAGACAGATATTAATATATAGGGTTATTTTCCCTACATATTCCTGTGTTCTTATCATCCCTTCTGATTTTTCTAGGGTCATAAGTGATTCCCTCACTTTTCCAGGAGAGCCTTTAAAATGTGTTCTTTTCACATGAACATTAGGAGTCTCTAGTCTATTTATTAAGTTCTAATATTTAAACAAGGTTATCAGGGAAGACTAGCACACATTTAGAGCATAAGAGAGGAAAGGAAATACTTTAGATACTTCTAGGCCTAAAATGTTAGGAAAGGAGGCCTGAATTGAAGACTATAGAGTCATTCTACTCTTGTGTATTCCCTCCCACCGCAGCCCCCAGTTTGTAATTTAATTGTTCTTTTGGATCAGAATTGGAGAAATGGTCATTCTGTTATTTAGGGCAGTGCTTCATAACATATTTTGATTGTGTTGAGAATTTTTTTAATGAGAAACAAATGTTGAGTTTGAACTTGACTTCATTACTGCAGAGAGCCTTGCATGTTTAATGGTTCTCTGTTTACTGAATTTTCAATTATGTTTTAAAATACTTTTTACCTGTCAAAATATATGCAGCCACAGAAAACTACTGTAAAGAGATCAATATCTTCTAAGTTTATGAATTGTTTTTTGACAGTGTCTTGCATAAAGAGACCATACTGTCTGTCATAAGTCTGTGTTTCCACTGGACTGTGTATTACTTCTTGTGATTTGTAGCAGTTCTCCTAAATGCCTTTTTTGGACAATATTGGCATTTTTTCATGAGAACCTTTCTACAGCTATCCAGTCTTGGATAATCAGCTGATCCTGTTTACAGGAGGAAATTTTGTATGGAGGAAACTTTGAACCATTTTATGGTTGTTGATCAGTCCATGTTGTTTTGCAGACTTTGGCAGTGGTTTTATAAGTGTTCCAGCACCAGTTTGGATAGGTCAGATTCCAGTGGAGCTCTAGAGTTGCAGGAGCACAGGATATCACTTTTTTGGGTATCACAAGAAGGAAACAAGAGAAGTTCATGTAACTGTATTTCTCAGTTCCCTCAGCCATGTTCCCCAAATAAGACACAAAATGTTGGCAAGTAGTCTGGCAGTGGTACAGATGCAAGGCCCCATTGCCAGGTGAGTGTACTTAAGTGTTCTTCAGGACTGTAGGTCATGACCTGGCTGGCTGGAAACAGGCTCATAAAACTGGTACAGATTCTTGAGTTTCAGACCTGAGAGTTAGGTGTGGGACAGTAATAAGTTAACTGTGCCTCCAGGAAACCCATGAACTACTTTTCTTAAAGAAAACACTTTAAAGTTGTGAGCAGTCCCTGATAGTCCTTCTGTGACTCAGGCATTGTGTAAAAGGAAATAGGAAAAAGATCCTTTGACTGAGAGATGGTTAAGTAGCAGTTGTATGAATTCATGCTTATCCATAAAACTGAGTGGTTAAAAAGGATCAGAATGTGAAATGGGATCAGATTTAAGAACTGAAGAATTTTATGGAGCATTTTAATTTGAAAAGGATGACACAGACTGTTATTTTAGTAGGCTTTTTGGATCAGATTATAATCTATAAATTGCATTACCATTAAAGGGCAGAGACCTGTCCAGGCAGCTGTGTGAGGCTTTATGAGAAGTATAGTGAGTTGTGGTCAGAAGCTTCAGGGACAATTTGTTCTAGCATGTGACCAGAAGAAAACTGGAAGTTTCATACCATTGTATCTACCTGGTTTTATGAGTGCTAATCTGTAAAAATGTGTTGCTGATGCAAATTAGTTTCATTTTGGAAATGCAGAAAGATCCAAAAATATGTTGCTTGCAAACATTGGCAGAGAGATCTATTCTCCTGGTTTCTGGATTGGATGTATCTTGGATAGTGAAGAATTAGAAATTGCTACCATCTGACAGCTGCTTAATTTAAATAAATGATTGTTTTTCCTATTTAATTTGATTTGGTTTGTGTCCACAGTATCAGAGCAGCCACAATAAGCAGCTGTCTTTACAGTCTTAATGGAAGGGGCAAAATTGGTGAATTAATACTTCGTTCTAACCTCAAGTTGAAATATCAGCAGGTTCATCGTGTAATGGGCAGATTAAAATGACTGTTCAGGTTTGTGACATTTTGAGGGCTTGCATGCTGAGCTTAGCACTAACCTGATGTGGTTGCACAGCCTTTAGCTTAGAGGTGGCTTACAGAAGGATGGAGCAGACTGCATAGCAAATCATGACTCTTACCTGCTCGCCTGCTCTGCTTTCTGGTAGTTTGCTGTCTTCCTCTGGCATGTGCATGTCAGTATCAGTCATAGTCCCATGGTGTCTTTTTTTTTTAGCTACTTCTGTGACACAGTCAGTAACCTGCCTTTAGACCATATCTGACCAGTCACTGTTGGAAAGAAAGCTGTGTAGTTGGAGGCCCAGTAGGCATCTCTTCTGCTTGCTGCTGCTCTCTGTGTATCTGTCAGCGTGACTCCCTGTGCTGTAGGATGCTTTGGACTACTGTGTATGATGGCTATCAGGTGTCCCTGTTCCTCTCATAGAACTACAGAATGGTTTGGGTTGGAAGGGACCTTTAAGATCATCTTGTTCCAGATCCCCCACCATGGGCAGGGACACCTTACACTAGAGGGTGACAGAAAGACAGAAAGTCTGCAAGTCTCCACTGTCTTAGTGCACAAGTTTGATCTTGCTTTACCTGTATGTGTTTCCTTACACATTTTTCTTTATCCTAAGATATTTTTTATGAAAAAATCATGCCTAAATTACATTGTCTTCCAAACATGATTATATTCATTTGGATCTCTTCGTTCTACCTCGTATTTACGTATATGGACTGGAGAAAACACTGTTAACTCTAAGGTCTGAGCTCCTGTCTTCCAGAAAGTAAACTCTGTAAGCTTGGATTCATTTGTTACTAGAATTCTGCCTTGGCTTTATGCAAGCAGGAAGCACTCATTCTGCAGATAGCTAGAAATCCTTGCATACTTGTCATTATCCAAATTACTGTGGAGGAAAATTTTATTGCATTAAACACAAGTATCTAATGATGAGTTATCTTCATTTTTTTGCAGTGGGCTGTTCATTTACTGTAACCATTTGCTCAGATACTGTCTCATTAGGTGGAAGACTATTTTAGGTACTCCTTTTTGTGTCTTCTTCCCTTGTAACATCACACATTCCTCCCAGTTTAGTTACATTTCTCCTATATTTCCTTAAGAAGCAGCATTTTTCTGTACAAGATAGGATATTTGCCAAGGCAATAGGCTTATCAGTTCATGTGAGCATTTATTGTGTCCGTTTTTGCTTTATTTCATGTGAAGTAATGGTATTATGACCTGATCCCAAAAGGACAGATTCAGTGGTAATTCAGCACTAAATCCTTTCACAAACAGTTATTTCATGACTATAAAAAAGATTTTTTTCTGTTCCTTTGCAGTCACTCTTGGAAGCACATGATATTGTGGCTTCAAAATGTTATGATTCCCCTCCTTCTAGCCCAGAAGTCAATAATTCTTCCGTGAACAACCAGGTTGTTCCAGTAGATGCTATTCGTATCCTTGGAATTCACAAAAGAGCAGGAGAGCCTCTGGTAAGTAATTGAGGGTGAGTGTGTCTTTAAAATGCTAGTGAAAATGTTTGCACATATCTGATTTCTTGCATTATGTTTTAAGTGTTTTCATTATGTTGTGTAATTTAATGGGTGATAAGCTCAGTATTGAGAGGTTGAAATAGGAAGATACTTTCATGTACTCCTTCCCATTCTCTCTAAGAAGTAATGGGACAGTGATTAGGCAGTCACTGGCCTGAATGACTGCTGGCAAAACTGACTAACACAACATCTTGATATGAGATGAAAGGATTGCATGCAATCAAAACAGCAGTAATTTTTCAGTCTTACGAAAATCTTGTGTGAAAGCACTTCTGTCACCTGATGCTTCTCTGTATCAGGAGCTCTAACACTGTAGTAGCTGTAACTGTTTCCATTGGAGTGAGTGGAATATCCCACAGCTGTGTATTTGTGCTTGAGGTAATGGTAAAATGAAACTGAAGTTCCAACAGTGGTAAACTGAGTGACCTGTACCTGTTTCAGGGAGTCACATTCAGAGTGGAGAACAACGATCTGGTAATAGCCCGAATTCTTCATGGAGGAATGATAGATCGGCAAGGTCTTCTGCACGTAGGGGACATTATTAAAGAGGTGAATGGCCACGAGGTTGGAAACAACCCAAAAGAACTGCAAGAACTGCTGAAAAACATCAGTGGAAGTGTCACTTTGAAAATTCTCCCCAGCTACAGAGACACTGTCATTCCTCAACAGGTCAGTAGCACATTTCTGATGATTCTGTGAAAAGAACTTCTGCTTAGTACTTTATTGTGTAAGATTCTCTAAGATTCTGGATTAGACATATGAATATAATGCTAGGAGGAAGAGTAAAATTTAGATACCTGTATTTACTTTTAATTACATTTTAGAAATGAGTTTGTTCACCTAATATGCCTGCCTGAAAAACTTAAATTAGTGTTTAAAATTGTTAGGCATTTGTATGCCACATATAAAGCACATTTCTTTGACCTTAAGTGATCTCTGATGACCTGACCACAATCACACTTCATGCAGTGAAGTGTGTGTGTTTATAATGTGGTTAGTGTCAAATTAATCAGTTTAACAGAATTCAGAAACATACTTAATTCAACAGACAGGCTTTTGAACTCTCTGACTTCAGTGGGAACTTGGATGGTGGCTGTTCCTTATCCTTTTGTTGTTGCTGTAGGCTGTCAATTTCTCCATGGCAGAAGTGACTTCCTGAGCTGAATCAGTCCTTTGAAGCACCCTATAAGATGCTCCTTCAAGTAGTGGGTCTTAATGCCTGTGACTTCCACTGAGTAGAGGCTGAGGGAATGTGCTCTATTGAGGCAGGTGCAGGGCTTCCTTTGCTCCCCAGCCTGGTACAAAGAGAGTCAAAGCTGTTTTCAGTTCAGTCATGCAACCTACTGTTTCTTCCCCTGCATCAAATTTGAGTCTTAAGCAGCTGCATCTCCTGTTATTTTTTGCCATGAATTCAATGATTTAAAAGTAATTGTTAAGATTCTACAAGCCTTAAATACAGTGCTCACATTCCAATAATTTGTTTGTATTTTTAAGTAGTTAAAAGTCAGAATTCTAATTGAGTTGTATACACTGAAATGCAAAAATGAGCATTTTGTAATACCATTTCCAAATGGAACAGATTTTTTAATTTTTATCATGAAGCTACTTCAGCCAAGGCTTGCACCATTGATTATTCTATCCCAGTTGGTGAATAACTTTTTCCCCCTAGATTGTATTTTACATGCCAAATGCATCTTGGATCATGTCAAGGTTTTTATGCTGTAGGTAAAGACATTACTTCAGTTTGACAGATAGATTAGTCAGAATGTATTTTATAATGCTTAAGCTTTGTTACTTTTTACACATTTCAGGTTTTTGTGAAGTGTCATTTTGATTATAATCCATATAATGACAACCTCATCCCATGCAAAGAAGCAGGTTTGAAATTTTCTAAAGGAGAAATTCTTCAGATTGTAAACCGGGAAGATCCGAATTGGTGGCAGGTTGGTAAAAAGATTAAAATAAGTAAAATAAAAAACTGAAAAGCATCAGTAGGTGCCTTACTAATAAACTCTTTAAATTATTATCTACTTCCATTTAACAGTAGATACACGAAAAAAAAAGTTATATTTCAATCCAATTTCAAGCTAATATAAAGATATGAAGTTGAAATACTAAAGGAAAAGTAATGTTTTAAATTGTATATGTAACACTCATTTTACTATTAGTTGTGTTTATTTGTCTTTGTTCTTGTATCATAAGCCTGGACATTCCCACAAATAAATCTAGGTGGACAATTTCTAGAAAAAAAGTCTTAGTTTGACTGTAATTCTGGTAAGCCTTCCCTGACAGCAGCTGTGGAAGACGTGGACCCCTTCCTGAGTGCTCAGAGATGCAGAGAGAGAAATTAATCCTGTGGATTTGAAGGGAGTGAGAATAGCTGTCTGGAGAGGCTGTATGTTTTATTTCTACAGTGGTCAGTGTCTGTGAGCTGTGCATCATGCATGCTCATAGTCACAGTGTGTGGCACTGTGTTTCAAATATTAACAGCTCATCCTGCTTTAAGGTGGTATTTCTACATTCAGTCCTGCAGCAGAAATGTAATCCAGTGCTTATGCTATGTTTATTTTTTACAAGACACTATTCACAGAATTAAATATTATCAGTGCCTCTGAAAATGGGACAAGTGAACTTTTAAGACTCTTTTGTGAACTTTTAAGACCCTTTTCTCAACTGAGATCCTCAAAACTGGCAAAGAGTATAGCATTATTAATTTCCCTTTCGACCCCTACATTGCTCACCCTTTGCAAGGTAACAAGCAGAAGAGAGCCAGACTACCTGAGAACAAGATTTATGACTTCTTTAAAAGCAACAGAAAGATTCCAACATACCTAAGCAGCTGCTGAATTTCGTTGCTTCTCAGTGACAGTAATAACAGAAAGAAAGACAATAAAAAGTGTGAGGAAAGGCTGAGAATTTATTGCTGCCAACTTAATTAGTTTCAGAAGTAGACACTCCAAAACTCTGGAGGAATTTGATGTTTAGCTCTCATGCTGACTTCTGTATTGCTTTTCAGTCTCTCCAGTTGTAACTTGTGGGAGTCCAGGAGAAATAAATCTTCAACATTCAATCTGGCAAAATTGAAATGTGTTAAATCAGTATAGTGTATTGCTATGCAGATCATGCCCCAGGAAAAAGAAGTTTAGTTTTTCCTCATGCTTTCTAGAAATGCTGGACTGTTAATGAAAACTTCATACTGTAAAAAATCAGTTAGTCATAGATAAAAGCATACAAGTTGAAAAGCAAACATCTCCTGTTAGCAAAAGAAGGATTTATTGCAAGCAAAAGATTTATGGAGAATTAGACACTTCATAACTGTGTTTGTATGTGTTAAGCTTGCTGAGAATTGAGCTTGCCATGAAATTATTTTATAGAATATTTTAGCCAATTCATTACTGGGAATGCTTAAGTTACTAAGATTTTAAATATGTAGTTGCTTAGTGCAGAAAGCTTGAAGGCATGATTAGGGATGTGTTACTGGCATTCACTGGGAAATGACAGTTAATAAACTGTACTGAAGCCTGTTTGGAGCAGCTCAAGAATATAAAATAAGTATACTGTATACTAGCAATCTTGACTTTTGTCACCTGAGACTTCAGTGTCTGGAGCCAGAGAATTCCACTTGGGAATTTTATGCCAATATTTTATGTCTGGAAGAGCTTACTAACATAATGAGAACCAGTGATGGAACTTGCATCTATTTTACTTACATTTTCTAAATTTTAATACTCAATATCAAGACACTATTCCTGTAAAAGAGAATTTTAATATTTACATCTGACTCTGAAGTTTTAAGTCTCAGTAGTAAATGTATCAACACTCACCACTGAGAAACTGGCAATGAGGAAGTCAGTCAACACCATCTTGATGAGAAAAATGCTTCTTGCAAGTTAAATATAATTATTTGTTTGGGTTTTTTTTCCCCTCCCAGGCTAGTCATGTCAAAGAAGGAGGAAGTGCAGGTCTAATTCCTAGCCAGTTCCTGGAAGAGAAGAGGAAGGCTTTTGTTAGGAGGGACTGGGACAACTCAGGTGAGATTTAATAAATTTCAGGAGTAGATTTTGCTCTGACTCCATTTGTTTTGCTTTTCCCACCTTGATAAATAATAGAAAAACTGCTGTGTGAGATTACACAGATTATTGTGAAATGCTGAATTTCGTATTTTGGCTTTTGCTGAAGGACAAAGGGTGAAGTCTCTGTTTAGTGTTCAAAGATACATGAATCAGTTTTGCCACCTGGTGATGAAAAGCTGAATGAGGTGGGACAGGCAGTGTGCACTTTTTAAAAAGTTTTTGTATGGTATGCACGGAAAGTTAATAAGCTAAACATGAATTTTTCAACTGCTTTCTTTTCTAGGAAAATATTTTTTTATGTGTTCAGTTGTTCCTGTACCATTTGATGGGTTTGTAAATAGATGTAATTTCTTGCCCTAGGATATATACAATTCTAGAATAGTCCTTATAAATGTATTAATCTAAAATTTCATGTATTCATATAAATAAATTTTAGAAATTAACAGAAATTGTGAGTTCATCTAGTTTTTTATTTTTAGGGCCTTTCTGTGGAACAATAAGCAGCAAAAAAAAGAAAAAGATGATGTATCTCACTACAAGAAATGCAGGTATCTCTTAATACTACATGAAAGTCAACATTCTTTAGGTATCAAAACTCTCAGAGTGTAGTGTATCCAAAGCTAAAGATTTGCAGTAAAATATTTGATTATAAGTTTGATAGATTATAAGTTTGATAGATAGTTTTTATGGTTTAAAAACAATAGCGACCAGTGCAGACATGGCTGTGCTGAGTACATCATTTGGTGGGTGGAAATCAGAGAAAAACTGGGTGTTAAGAAAAAACAGTGAAATGTTTGTTGCCAGTGGGCTGAGGGGATGTGATTTTTTGCTTCTGTTCAGCATTGATGAGGCCACACCTAAGAGTGGGCACCTCCACAGTGCAAGGGAGATGTGGACATACAAAGATGTTGAAAGGACTGGAGCATCTCACCCATGAGAAAAAGTTGAGACAGCTGGGAATGTTCAATCTGGAGAAGAGGAGGCTCAGGGCAGCTCTCACCAATGTGTACAAATACCTGAAGGGAGGGTGCAAAGAGGATGGAGCTGGGTGGGCTGTTTGCAGAGTAGCCCAGTGACAGGGCAAGAGCCAGCAAGCAACACAGGCTCTGAACATCAGAAAACACCTTTTCCACTGTGAGGGTGACTGAGCAATGGCACAGGTTATCCACAGAGGCTGTGGAGTTGTCCTCCCTAGAGATAATCAACAAGGGTCTGAATGTGGTCCTGGGTATTGGGGTGGACCAGATGCCTTCCAGAGGTACCTTCCAACCTCAACCATCCCATGATTCTGTGGAAGTTCACTAATTGTCAGTCACAGTTTTCCCCTTCTGATCAAACACAGACTTTCTCCTTGGAAGTAAAAGAGAGAACCTGACCTTATGTTGTCCATGGAGAAATAACTATTTTATTCCCAAACCAATTTAAAGCTAGAAGTCTTGTGTCAAACTTACTGCCCTCTGAGCACTGTTTGTATTCACATGGGGTCTGTTGATAAATAGGACTACTTAATTTTTTTTTTTTTCGTACAGCCCTGAGTGTGTATTAAAGCTTTTTGTACGTTTCTCAATGTAGAATTTGATCGCCATGAAATCCAGATATATGAGGAAGTAGCCAAAATGCCTCCTTTTCAGAGGAAAACCCTGGTCTTGATTGGGGCCCAAGGAGTGGGGCGAAGGAGTTTGAAGAACAGGTTTATTGTGCTGAATCCTACTAGATTTGGAACTACAGTGCCATGTAAGTTCTCAGGATTCCGAATGTAATATCATCCTTTGATTAACTGGAAAGTATGTGATGTTTATCCTTGTGATTCAGTGTTGGAGTCATTTTGTCAGAGCATAAAAATTGTATAGAGTGGGAAAACAAAAGGCTCTTCCTGTTTTCAGAAAACTGAACTAACATATGACCATGAAAACATTTGTAACTAGCACTCAAATGGTACTGATGCTGCAGAATACCAGTTTTTGTCTGTGCAGTATTTCAGTCTGGGTTTCCTCAGTGTCAGTCGCCATCCATTACTGAGGTCATTCCATAAGTTCCCAGTAGCCTTCTGTAATGAACAGCCAGTGGCGTTTCTCAGGTCTTCCTTTTAGTTTTCCACCTGTGGACTAGGCATTATAAATTGTTGCTTAGTTTAGAAATGTAGAGAAAAGCAGCAAACATCCAATAAAACTGAAGTGTTTGTAATCTCCAAGATTTGTATAACTATTTTAATATATCTAGCCTTAAGCACATGATCTTTTATTTCCCCCCCTATAAATAGCAGAAAAAAACTTATTTTACCTGAAGCATGTTTTCTTGCCTTTCTTTCAGATGCTTTGCTCATTAACCTTTTTTTTTAACTCCTCCCTCCTGTTTGGCTGCTGACCAGAGAAGCCCACTCTAGCTACATTATTATTCTCCTGACATGTACTTTTCAGAATTTCGAAAACAGTCTGTTCCCTTCTGTTTCCAGTGGGCAAGAAATAGATCTGATAATAATAGGAGGGAGGGACAGGTCTGAAAGATGAATTGTGCAAGATGAGAACACCAGTCTCTCTCATTTGCTGAATCTCTAGCATCAAAACTGGCCAGGGCACTTAAAATTGGTTGATGGGCCTGATAACAAGGTTGACTTCTCAGTGTTACTTTTAAAAAGAAATCTTCTCTTGGGAATTCCATTAGTTTATATTGGCGAAATAGTAAGAGGCTTTTTATTGCTTCTAAAATTCTTACTCTATTTCAAAAAGGCCTTCAGAATTACTTATTTCTCTAAAATGCTATATAGATGCTTGAATATATGTAAGTAATGCAGCACAGTTGTTGAACATTCTTCAAAGGCATAAAAGTAAACTTTCCCCAATCTGCTAGTCTAATCATGCACATGCAATACCCAGTTTATTGTATGTAGAACCTTTTTTTCTACTTCAGATTTTAAGTGGGAGAATCAGTAAACTTAGTTGGTCTTTGATTAGAAGAAAATTCTCCAGGTTATTCATAAACAGATTTGTGTAGGATGTGTTTTGGGAGGTGGGAAGGGGATGAAATTGATCCAGTGCTCTATGGGGAGAAGCATGTTCTTGGTGTTGAGTTCTAATCCAGCACGTGGTGCTGTGGTTTTCTTCAGTGTGATTAACTGAACTGTTAAATCATCTCTTAGCTGTAAGATGTTAAAGCTTACTCTCCAAAATTAATTGCAAACTGATATGTAATTCTTCTTGATTTATTGTATTAACCACTATAGCTTTAATCTTTCCATAAAATCTTGTCTAAAACTAGATGTTCTAGTAATTTGTTTATTCTTAACAGCTTCAGATGATCATTTTTCCTGGCATTTGTGTTTTCTATGAGATTGAAGAGAATAGGAATTACTGGAAGGGAAGGATTGCTTTCCACTTGTCTCAACAAGTTGCACCAAGTGATGGTAGAAGTATTACCAAAGAAATGCACTGACTTTAGGTTTAATATGTTCTAGAGTTCAAATCTAATTAAATATAAGTAGCAGGTAGTTAATGTGGGGATAGGGCAGAAAAGTCAATAATAATATAATCTTATATTTTATTTTACTTTTTTAAATTCTTATTTTTATTTTTTTGCTTAAGTAATGTCTGTACTGCACAGTGTAGCCAATACCCAAGATAGCTGATAATGATTTACTCAAATACTGGCTTTAATCTTTCTGCAGGGAATTTACCTTGCTTTAAAAGGGAAGTTGTCCTGGAAAGCAGCATTAGCTGGCTTCCACTAAGATTCTGCTATGGTGGCTGGGCTGCTTCTGATATTTAAACTAACTTTCTTTATAGCTAGTTCATGTAATTCTACCCTGAACAACAGGACAAATACAGAGAGCAAAGGTTTTGGGGGTGGGATGGGGTGGATCTTGTTGTGCTCAGCTATTTTCAGAAGTACATTTGGCATTTGGGAGTTAAACTTCCATTTGATTTCCGTATTTTATTAAGTGAATACTTAAAAAGATTGCATGAATGAGTATTGTATATGGTGTGAAGAAGTAGGCAAAGGAAACAGGCAAATGGGTGGGTAAGCACCACATAGGAAACAATATAAATAAAGGGAACAGGAGGGGCTGTGCTCAGTTTTAAAATATATCTAGAATGAAGAATAAACATGTACATGGAACAATTACAACTGTCTAACAATGTGTATTATAGTCTCCCTACTTAATAGGCAGTCCAGTTTCATATTTATATTCCAAATATAAAATGAAAACATTCAATTTATATTTTTAATTTTTTGTTTAGTTACTTCACGGAAGCCAAGGGATGATGAAAAAGACGGGCAAGCGTACAGATTTGTGTCACGAGCTGAAATGGAGACGGATATTAAAGCTGGCAGATACTTAGAGCATGGAGAATATGAAGGAAATCTTTATGGCACCAAAATTGATTCCATCCTTGAAGTTGTTCAGACAGGAAGGACCTGCATCTTGGATGTGAATCCACAGGTATATGATTTATAATGTTATTATTATAACATGTGTGGGATTATAATGTTGAAGAGGTGAAGAGAGATGCCTTCAAATTTGAAGGCTTCTTATCTGGTTTCAAGGTTACAATTATCAGCTGGATTCCTGTGTTTATGGCACTTACTTGGAATGGATTAGAAAAGTGGAAAATACCCAACTTAAATTTTGCATGAAAGAGGAGTCTTGCAGAGTGATAAATAATCTTTTTAGCCAAGGAAAGAATGATGCTCAGCATTTCAAAAGGCAATGTAGGAATTTCCAAAATAGAAATAAGAATCTTCACTTATGTATTGCTGCCCATCATCACAGATGAGTTTTGTTGTGTCCCTTAAGTAAGGGGGAGATGTGGTGAGTCACTCTCAAACTTTGGTGGTTTCTTAATTTTTTTTCTTTTTCTTTGCCTCTAGGCTCTAAAAATTCTGAGGACTTCAGAATTCATGCCCTATGTGGTGTTTATTGCTGCTCCAGAGTTAGAGACTTTGCGAGCTATGCACAAGGCTGTGGTAGATGCTGGAATTACAACCAAACTTCTCACTGTAAGCAGATCATTTCCTATTTAGTTTTCTTTGAACAAGATGTTCTTAGATCTTTTAAACATTCTTTATCATTCATTTTAGGTGGAATTTGTTCTGAAACAAATGTCTCTTAGAAAAGCTAGGCAAGACTTTTGCTGATTACTTAGTAGAAGTTAATCAAATATTATGTATAAGGGAGATTGCTTCTTTCTTAAAAATAGACCTCTTACAGAGAAGTGTTGATTACAAAAATTACTTGTAATGTGTACTTTGGGAACTGTCACCTTTGATTATTTGCAGCAAATGGTAGATATTTCATGGTTGCAATTGTTCTTTTATGCAGATGTCTTTCCTTGACTTTCCCATCTCCCTCCCCACCCAAATTTTTGTTCCTGTTTGTCTTATAATATGTGTGTGCTTTAAAAATGGGATGTGTAATGCTTGGGAAAGATATTGCAGCTTGTGTCAAAAAAGGAAAAAGCAAAAAAATCTCACTAACCAACAAACCATCAACCCCCCCCCCCCAAAAAAAAGCCAGAAAAAACCCCAGGAATGCAGGTTGTCCTTGTTTTCACTGCTGCAGCATCATGTGCTGCACTGAGAGTGGCTGACAGCTGCCAGAATAAGAAGTGTTGAACAGCTTCCCCTGTTGTTCCTTGGATTTGTCATATAAAGTGAAGTGGTATGTTTTGTTCATTAGATCTTCTCTCCTTTTCTTGAGACACTGTGTGTAGCAGAGGGAAATAAGACGATTCCTCCAATGCAGCTAAGTATAAATACTCTGTGTGGGCATGAACTTTCCCAGCTTCAGGAGCAAAGAAAAAAAAAGCCAGATGAAGCAGTTCAACTAACTCCCCAACAGAAAAAAAGCTGTGTTTTGCTGATGGCTCATAATGACAGTGCTGCAGCTTCATAGGAATATCTTGAATAAATGCTGACAGGGCACTCAAAGCTATAAAATGGGGGGGGGGGGGGGTGGTTTAGTATTTCCACTTAAATGAGTGTATAATTTTTAGTCATGGCTTCTAGTTATTATGCATTCTAGTATCTCTGTGGATGCTCAGTCAGTCATCCCTCTTTCCTGCTCCAAATGAACCCTGAATTTTATGGTGCATATACAAGAAGGCAAGGTTTAAACTATCCAGACAAGTATAAAAATAATTTCCTGCACTTCCTAATATTTGATTCCCTAAGGGACATCTTTAGGTCTGTATTACTTCTTACAAGTAATAGAGAGGTTCGTTAAATTTCAGATATGCATTTATGTGTTTTTATGGATTCTGCATCGCATCCCTGCACATGTATATGGAGTATGATTTGCTATTTCATATTCTTGTGCTTCCTGAACAAATGAAAAACAAATGTCATTTAAAGTATTACAGTTTGTTAGACCTGGCTGTATTATTTCTAGCATCCTAACCCATTCCATTACAAAAAGTCTGGCTCTTGGGTTCATACATTTACTTGTTTCCTTCATTCACTGTGAAGGAAAGGCTATTGACAAACTTAGTTTTTCATTTTGGTTTTTATATTGACAGCTGTATAAGGACTTGCAAATACTGAAATAATTACTGTAAAGGGAGACAAATCTCATAACTACTTCCAAAAAACTGATGTTGCACAGAAATTGAGAGGAATTTTTAAAGAATGTAGGACTAGCAGAACACAAAAACGTGCTCAGAGGCACTTTATAAAGGCTTCATCATGTAGGAATATAAATTTCCTGCATATTTTGCAGCTCAGGTCAGGACTACAGTAATGTAGCAGTAGTTTACAAATGAGGGACTGATGTCAGGTGAGCTAGGCTAAAATGTTGTCTCTAAGAGCCATAAGGTATTCTAGAGCTTTATTCTGCTAGAAATTGTCTTTCATTTCATCCTAATTTAAAATCTTGGATTTTTGGTGTCTTCTGTGGAAATAACAGGGACACAAATATATTTACAAAACTGATTGACTCAGTCATTCCTAAAGCATTAATTTTTTTCTGGTTGGATCATCACTTGCCCTTACAAAGTGATTAACTGCTCCCCGTGCACACCAGCCCAAGTTCACGTGCTTCTATTGATTTTCTTCAAAATTGTAAGATTGGCAAACATTTGCTTGCCATATTTAACATTACTGACACCACTCAGAACTTTCTGAGCCCTTTCAATGTATTTTAGCTCAATTTCTGTGTGAATGCATTATAAATGAAAACTTTCCTTATTTTTAAAATGTATATGGTACCTAGCTTTAAATAGTCAGTTGCAGTATGTACTGAAGGGATCTTCTTCTGCATCTCTAAGGATTTGCCAAGTCTTATCTTTAAATCTTTAGTAAGATTTAGATTCGCTAATCCTTAAAAATCTCTTGCACAGGACACTGATCTGAAAAAAACGGTGGATGAGAGTGCCCGGATCCAGCGAGCGTACAACCACTACTTTGACCTGACCATTGTAAATGACAACCTGGACAAAGCCTTTGAGAAGCTGCAGACGGCCATCGAGAGACTGAGGCTGGAGCCCCAGTGGGTCCCCATCAGCTGGGTCTACTGAGTGTTCCAGAGGGAGCTTCAGTAACAAATAAAGTCAGCAACAGCAAACGTGACGTGTAGATACTGATGATAACCTACAGCACCTGTGCATTTTTACTCTGTGTATATTCAAAAGTACACTGTTCTGAATTTTTATAAAAATGTTGAAGAGAAAGTGTACTTAAATATGTAATTTATTTTAATTTTTCTAACTTTTTACAGATAACCTTTCTATTCATATCACATGAAGGAAATGCGTTTAAGCATTTTTCTATGTTTTGATTTCGTATCTTTGCCTTTTTCATCTAAGAAACTTTCATTCACTTCAGCATTTACATCTTGGTCTTACATTTTCACTGTGATTAAAAAAGGATACTTGAAACAATTTTTGTAAAATTTGTTAATGTCAGTGTTTAACTGATCAAAAGTCTATAGCTCTTATTAGGAAAGAACACTAATTTCTTTGAGGTTTTTTTCTTCTTCAAAAAATAATAATTTCATGGGAGCAGAATTTTAAATATTAAAAGCAGTAACAAAAACACAGGTCCATTGCTCCAGCTGCTTTCAGCTTAATGTTGGTGCATTCCTGATGTTTCAAAAGTTCTTGATATCTCTTGATTTAGATAACTTTTGTGTAGATTCCCTTCTATCTGTCTCCTAAAATAACATAGAGCAATACCTTGCAAGCTGCTTATTATGCTTTCTTGGGAGCCAATCTGTTAGCCCATCACAGTTGAAGTACTGACATTAGAAAGTCATACGCAAGGTAATTCAGTGCAATTTGAATAATGGTGAAGTAGCTTGAGAGAGAACATGATAATGTGGAGCCTTGTAGGTGACACTTAATGTTTAGGACTATTTATTCATACTTGTGAAAACACATTGCTTAAAAAAAGAAAAAAAAAAGACATTTTCTTTTCTTAGGCCATTGTTCTGTATTTGTGTAGTGATCTGTGGCTTCATTTCCTGTGATTTCTAGCTGGGTTCTAAATTATCTTTTAAATATTTGTGTGTGATTAATTGCTGTATTTTGAGTGTTGTGTAATGGCATTTCTGTGCTTTTTCTTACATTGCTTTTAATTGCATTTTTCATTAGATAGCTTGTGAATTGGAAGCTTACTGCTAAAAAGCAATGTTGTTTATAGGTTTTTTCATTTACAGTGTATTTCCTTTTCAGTGACAATTCTCCCCTCAGTACGCTCATTGATATAATTCATATTAGGTTAGGTTCAGGTTCATTGATCAAAACTTAAGCTGATGTAAATTAATGGGAACAGAAGGAAAATACAGCTTGTTGCTCAGATGAGCTCTTTTTGTGACCATGTTTTATATGACACTGTCAGCTGTTGTATATAGTCACATTCACCATCACATACTGGGTTAGGTGTCTAAACTGAAGTCATCTGTTTAATTCCTCTTCCATCTGGTGACAGGCACCTGGCTCTGGATTCCTTTTCAACACCAAAGTGTGACCTGGAATGCTATCAAAAGGCATCTTCCTCAGAAGTATTTCTGGAGGAAGACAGGCTTAGGCACTGTAAAACAGCATTGCTTCCTGTGGCTCTCAAAAGACTTTTATGTGCACAAGTAAAGAAAAAATTGAGTGGATGCAGTAGAGGAAAACTGTTTGAAAAAAAACTCAAAAACACCCGTATGCAACAGATGGTTTTTACACAGCCTGTAAAGTTGGTTGTTGTGGGGAAAGAGGGACAGAGGAGGCTTGAAATCCCAGTGTGTGTGTGTGGAAAATGTTAGTTAAACTTGTGTGTAGCACAGGAGATCTTCTTGGCTCTTAATACTGAGATTTCAAAATGTTTTTCAGAGGGAATATGAAATTCTCCAAGGAAAATTTGTACCACTGCTTTTTTATTGTTATGCTTTCCAGGATGTGTTTTCTCTGTTTTTTTTTTTTTAAGTTTGGCAGAGCTCTCAGTTGTGGCACCAGCATGGGACTTGTAGTTTTCTTTCCCAGGAGACACGTTCTGTGATCCTGTTGCTCAGAGGCTGCTTTGAGAAGTGGCTGGAGTGTGGTGTGTAGCAGCAAATGACAGCAGGGCTGTTGCTTGGCTATTTCAGTGGTTTGCTTTTGGCACTCTGTGCTGAACATGGCTGAACTGTGTTTGTGTACTGTGTCATGGGAGTCCTCCATATGCTGTAAATAAGATATGCTGTCTGGACAGATAAGATGCCTTTTCATTATGAGTTAGAAATATACCCTTATTTCTGATGCCAAAAGTGGGCTGACTTCACTCTTCCCCAATGAATGGAATGAAAAGATTCTTCAGTTTACACACCTCAGTACTTCATGTTGCAAGCATCACTTATTTTCATCTTTTTTCTGTAAATTTACTGAACCAAACACATGAAACACAGCCACCAAGGTGTAGTCAGGAAAGCTTCTCTCTGCTCATTCTGTTTCCATCCCAGGGAGAATACTGTCAAGAGAGTCTCCCTAGTTAGCAATCTCCAGTATAGTCACATATTTGCTAAAGCCTAAAGCTTGAATGTTTGCTTCAGGTTCACTCTGTGGGTTTAAGTCAGGTGGTGGAGTGTTGTGGCTGAGCTTTGGGTGGTGGTGATGGTGATGTAGATGGCAGTGAGCAATTCTGCAGTGCAGTTCTGAAGCAGTAAGAGAAGGTGACTTGCTTGGGTAGGCACAAAGATGGTATGGAAGTATCTGCAGGTCTGATTTGGTTGTGTTTGTGCCAGGTTGGGGGGGAAAAAACCCCAAACCCAAACAGCACACCCTGTGCATCTGTGTGTTAAATCTTGAGTGTTCACATTGGATTGTTTAATGGTGAGAGGGGGAGGGAGATTGCTTTGTTTCTTTGTGGTAGTTTTGGGTTTTGGCATAGTCAGATTTTCATCAGATACTTTGCTTAGTTTGTCCCCACCTGGTAGAATGACTGGAATGAGAAAAATAGTTACTATTTTTTGAAAAGAATGTTCTTGGAGGTTCTTGAAATGCTGGTGTTGTTTCAGTCCCATCCACAGCTGTGACGGTCCCTACCTGCCAGGGTGTGCTGCATCAGCTGTTGTACATTGTGCAATTAGGGAAGAAGACACTATGAGAGGCTCATTTTGAGCAAGCAAAAACATTTCATTAAACACCTGTTTGGAGTATTTTGAAGGAGTTAAAATAACTGGGATTTCATGTTATCTCATTCTGTACTAAACATTCATTTTCCAGATACTAACAGGAAAACTTTACATTGACTGTTAAAGAGTACAATAGGTGTGTCTGAGCGAGGTGAAGATGCTGCTAAATGTTTAAGATATGTGGTATGTATCACAAGATAAATATTTAAGTAGTTTAGGAAAAGTAAATTATCAAATAGTTGTCTGTGTATATGTATGTGGATGGTAAAACAAAAAATGCTCATGTTGGTTATCACATACTAAGCTACCACGACTTAATCCAGAAATGTTACCTGCATGTGAGACTTTAGAACTGGTACACTTCTCTACCTGGTTTATTGTGTTTACTAATGTATATTTTTCTAAATATACAGATATTTCAATCTAAAAAAACCCTATATTTATCTGTAATTTCTATTTGTTTTGGACAGTGCATGAGGTGCTGTAAAATTCTGTACATATAGAGACTTATAGAAGAAACACTGTAGTTGCCCTGTGAATGAAAAGTTATACATAGAAGTACAGTCAGTATGCCAAGACCTGTAAGTTATTTCCCTGAATTCACCAAAAATTCACTTAAGCGTGCACCAGTCTCAACTCTCCTGTAAATACTGTGGTGCATTGTGTACCCAGGTGATGACCTGCTGTCTCTAAGTGTTATAGCAGGTCTGCTTTAGGTTCTGCATCAAGATGCAGTCCAAGTTTAGTGGGATAATTATAATGGAATACATCATCTTGCATAGATTTATAAAGGTCTTTCAAAATGTTCTGCAACCCTTTGCAACGAAGGTAAACACGGAGCAGAATCACAGATCTTTGTAGGCAAGGAAAATCAAGTTCATAACCAAGGCAGTATCTGTGACTTGTGCCGTGCTCTCGGCTCAGGGCAGCTCTGTGTACTTAGTTGTACAAAAGCTTTGTGGATCAGGATGGCAGATCAGCTCATTGCTTTTGAATTTCTGTTTATATAAACTGTCACATCTTGGCTGAGCTCAAATTGTGACGTTTTTTCCTTCATCCTCTTTACTCGCTGCATCTTCTAAAATCATACCTAAGTGACTTGCTTACAAATTGCCTGCAGCTCAGTGCTCAGGAAGTCACCTGGGTTTGGTTTTGTTTTTTGAAGAGGGTGATTCAGCTAAGAAATAGGAAACTTCTTTCTCTTTGAAACACAGAAAATCCCTGGCTAGGTACCCCCTTGAGCCCAGTGGGCCTCTGTAATGCTCAAGGACCAGTGGAGAGCCATCAAGCAGAGCGCTCCAGAGATCAGGAACTGGGTTCTTACCTGTCCTTACACATGAGCCAATCTTGTGAATATGAACTCCCTTCACCTCTCCCATGGTTTCCCAGCCAGGCTTCCTGTAGGTTGCTTCTCTGCTCCCACTGAACCTTGAGGCCATGTCCCAGTGCATGGACAGTGCCTCCTGCAGCAGCTGCCCCCCTGTCCATTGTGCCTGTGGGTGCAGCTCTCGGATAACCAACGGCTGGGGCTCTGTCCCATGTCCTGCACATCTGTACAGGCTGTTTGCTTCCTGCAGGGTTCCCTGCCTCACCCCAATTCCAAAGAGTTCGAGTACCACATGGTTATTGCCAAACTTCATGATGCTCCTTTGCAGAAGTGGTGAGATCATTTTATTGGTGTCTGTGTGGTGGGTACTGGATCAAAGACTCGCAGTCTGCTGGGCCTCTTGCCTTAAATACCCCTCAGCTCCCAGCACCCTCCTCTCCCTGCAATAAAAACCTCTCCTGGGCCACTGAAAGGGGTTCTATCCTTAAGGCTACTTTAATTTACTTTCTCTGGTGGACTGTTGTGACTGACAGTGCTGAAGTGAAGTCCTGGCCCTTCTTTTTATTTTCCCTGGGTTTCTTCTTTTTTGGCCTGTACTTCCTAGTTTTCACATATGTTTAACAGGCTTGCTGGTGGAAATTGTCTGGGATTCTCAATTTGTGTCTTATAGAGGAAATAGTAGTTAACAAAAACATCAGTATTTAGGACTTGTATAACTCACTGTTTTAGGCCCAAGACAGATCCTAAAAGTAAAAATAGAAAACAGTTGTAAAATAATCAGTTTTGGTTATTTTTACAGGCAGCTTTGGCTTCTGATCATATTAAAAAAGCATGCTTGTGCCCACACACACAAACACCCATATATATACATATATAAAGCTCCATGGTAATGCTGCAAACAATTCAGGCAGTGTCTACTGAATTACCTGAATTCTCTGCAGTGGGATATGGTTCCACAGTTACATTGTCAGCTGCTGAATTCTCAGTTTATTTGCTGGTACTGTAGCTGGGATTTACTGGTACAGGCCTAAAAACAAACCCCACCAGCTTGGTGACAGCTGTGATGTAGCTTCACCTACAAATGGAATTTATTTAGCAGGGGTTCAGCAATATTTATATTTTATAGAATAAGTGACACTTGAAGTCATTTTTTCCTTGGTATTTGGAACTGTTTCTTATGCTCATTGGGTATGGAGTTCTTTTTGCTGCTAGGACAGTGGTCAGGTAACAGAGTTAAAGTAGTCCTGGAAACACTTTCTCCCATTTAGCCTCTTCTTTTTTATGTCAGTAGCTCCATGCTAATACTTTTCCATGCAATTTTGGTTGTTCCCATGGCTGAGCCAGCTGTTGGTTACTCTACAAGCAGCCAACATTTACCTGAATACAGCAGAGCCTCTTCCAAAAACCCAATCTCTCTGTTACCTGACCTTTCACATGATCCATAGCATAAAGCAAAATGAACAGTGCTGCTTTGTACAGGCAAAAAAAAGGTTTTGATTGTTTTTTTGGGTTCAGGTCTTGTACACAATTATGTGTGGAGATAACTGTTGAAATATATTGTTTCCCCCTAGGAAAATGCATGTTGAGCATCCCTTCCCCACTCCCCATGTGTTGCCCATGTGTAACATTTGTGCACTGTGGTGTAGGGAGGGGAACTGCTTCTGTGGGGTTTAAAACACAAGAAAGTTGCTGCTTTCCACCCTTACACCGGGCTAAGAACTGTAGGATCTTGGTTGTGTTTGGGTTTAAATGTGTATTAGAGCTCTGTCACCAGGAATTTCCTTACCTTGCTTTTCTCACAACTGGTTTTGCCAGTTGGAAGCTCTCATGGTTTTCTGTTTCGTTTTTTTATCTCTACAGTATATTAAATTAACCTGGATTTGAATTTGTAAAACTTTCAAAACTGCTCTCCTGTAAAAAATAGTTTCTTTAGCTGAAAACTTCCTACAAGAAAAATCTTAACCTGAATTAGCTGAATTTTTTAATATAAACCTGGAAATTATTTAGTACCTAATTGTTTGAATACAGTACTGTAGAGCAGGCCTAGGATATGGGACTTGTTAGCATTGTGACTTCATACTGATAAAGTCAGCTACTATGTGGGATGTTTTTAAATTGTGACTTGTTTTCTAAGACCCCCCCCACCTTGTCTTTTTCACAGCTAGTATTTTCACAATAAACACAGCCAAACATAAAAATGTTAATGTACAAATGATGAAATTCTGTTAATTCCCAACAAAATATTTTTGTATATAATAAAGATTTAATATTGAAAAAATGTAATTGGCTTTTTTCTGATTCTTTTTGGTGATAGTCTGCATTTGAGCCACATAATGTATCAAGGACCAGTCTTTGAATCTGCCTTTTATCTTTGGATTTTGGTGCTCCACCTACATAAAAGCAGCTTTTCAGTTAGTCTTGTTTATCTCCCTGTTCATGAATGTGCCAAATCCCCTTTCCATGCACAGGGAGACCTTGGGGACTCCTGAGCCACCCTGGGAATGTCATCATTGCTGAAGCTGGGCACCTGATTTTCTGAGCACTGCAGCTCAAAGGGAGTTGATCTCCTGGGCCCACACTGGAATGGGCCAGTGGACAAAGCCCAGGGATTTGGGCAGCTGGAAGGAACTGGGAACTGGCTGCAAGGCAGAGCCTGCTGGCCTCTGCAGGTAGCACA